TCCCACAATGTTTAAAAATTTTAGAATTTCAAAAATAGACAAAATTTAGTAAATTTAGTAAATTTTGAAATTTAAATTATGTGTAAATGAATATATAAAAGAGCAGCTTTTTACCAGAGTTCTAAAACTTTGAAAGAATTACTTATTAAGTAAAAGTTATTACATATTTATCTATTTCATTTATTGTATATCAGTTTAGTAAAAATATTGTAAAACTTTGTCCCTGTGACAATTAAAAATACTGTAATCATGTTTAAAGAAAGAGAGTAAAATTATTGAAGTCATACAACAAACTATATACTTATTATATAGTAATTTTAGTAATAATCTCTTGATCGATTTTGTCTTAGTTATACTTATATGTTGATCAATCAAAATTACAGAATTAGAGTGTTCTCAAGCACTTTTACTAAAACGTATCTATGATGGTTTATCACCTATATTGTATTATCTTAAAAACTGACTAATTAATTAATATGCAATATTCTAAGTAAAAATGCTCTACATCTCCAAAAACCCTTCCTAAATCTTAATTTTAACACTAAATACTAGCTCTAATATGAAAAATTTGTGCTAAAAATTTTATATAAAAAATTTATAAAACCTTAAAAAAAATATATAAAAATATATAATTGGTGCAAAACCACCATAGGTGAGTTTTATAATAAATATTCTTAAGCACTTATCTTAATAAATTCAATAAAAAACCTAATTGGTGTGTTTGATTAAACTAACTATTTGATTTTTATTGAATTCATTGAGGTAGGTACTTGAGAACACCCTTAGTTCTATGTAATCTAAACATCATAATTTTATATAATTTTCCTATTAGTATATAATTTTTACCTGTATAACTATATAATATATATATATTAAATATGCAGTATTAATTTTTTACTATATATAGTATATTATAAAAATACAAATATATATACATATATATATATTATTTTTGTTAATATTAAATATTCTAGTGATATAATATTTTATGCTATATAGAAATTAATGCAAACTAACTCAACTTTAACTACATGTCATAGTTACTAGAATAGCAAGGCTTGTAACAGAATTTTTTACAAAACTTATAATAGAATAATAATTCATGATTAATTTCAATGCAAACTAACTCAACTATATATTGTGATTACCAGAATGGTAAATTCTATATAGTGTTAGAGGCAAAAGGGTAGCAATACAGACTGCCCAATTATCTTCAAACAACACAACCAACCCAACAATATACCCAATGGGTAGAGGTGATTACAATTTGGCAGGTAAGGCTAAATTAGGTATAAAGTGGAACTAATTGACTTTATTTTTGCAATATTTACTTATTATTCTTTATTAGAGAACAAAGACAAGCACTTTTTACAAGATTACATGTAAGGAAATAAAAAAAAAAACAAAAAATTTTTTCTAATCTAAGACCACAAACCAAAGTATGTCACTTTCAGCTTTGCTTGATCTTTTTGTTTACAAAACAGATAGGCTTATTTCTTCTATTACACTCATCTATTTTTTCCTTTTACTGTGATCTTGGAACTTTGTGAGAATGATTTATTCATGATTTTTACACAACTTTGCGGAGCTTCAAATCAGATTATTTGTCACATTTTTGGGTCCCGTGATGTGTATTTCAGTATAGAAAATTTGACATTTTGCCACCAACAATAGCATTTTATAGTATCTTTATAGTAATTTTAATAAAAACTAACTTGATTTTAACTATATTTTATTATTACTAGAGTTATGAATCTTGTAACTAAAGATAGTAAAATCCAGTTCTGTCTAGTTTTGGTCTTATAATCTGAACTAAGTCTTTATAAAAACTAGTTTTAGAACTTTAGTTAACTTAGGTTTAGTCTAAGACTTAGTCTTAGAACCTAGGTCTGCTATATGTTGCAACCTAAAACACAACAAAAATCAAAGGCTACTTAAAAGAAGACATAAAAGATTTAGTTTAAGAATCAAGGATTCTATTGCCACTAGAATCCCCAAAGTTTATCATTATCTAAATAGTCTTTATTATTATAATACTTCACTTGTTTTTAGATATATGAAATCAATAGTTATTTAAATATTACAGAGAGCTTTGGGGCTTTATTACTATTATTAGAATCTCTAAATATAACTATTTAGAGCAGGGTAAATAGACAATAAACAAGCCAATATACTCAATAGTATTTAATTAAGTTATTAGGCAATAGACAAATTACTAAAACAATTTAATTAGTTAATCTTGGATATCATTATCTTACTAAAACAATTGCAATAGGCATTAAACTCATTAGACCAATATACTATTAGACAATTATACTAGGCAATAATTTTTTGATTAGACTATATTTATTTATATTCCTATTTAGAGTATTGAAGCAAATCTATGACTAATGATAAGTAATTTATACTTATTTAATGACTATAACTTTAGTTTTTACTATAGAGATGTCTTACTATTGTTTTTTAATAAAGCTTCACCTCAAGCCAAATCCGAATTGGCATTTATTAAATGTCTTCACTTTTTTGATTAATGCCTCAAGTCTTATAGCATAGATCACATTTTGCTGTGGCTAGTTCATATTACTCTTTACAATGTATATATTAATATTTACCTATTAGAATGTGTAATAACAATATTATTTAAACTATATACATTAAATAAATAATTATAGTTTTAAACTATATATTTAAAACTTTGTTGAAATTATACTATATATATATTAATTAGGCTATTCAGAATTATGCAATAGCAGAATTTTGCAGTTAAAACAAAATTTATTAGTATAATTTCTTTTAAACTATTATAAATTTGTATATTAAAACTTTTTAAAGATCCAAGAACTCTAGATTCTTAAATTTGGACTTGGTCTTTAAAGACCAGGTTTAAAGACTAGGCTCTAAGGCCCAGATCTATAGTTTGGACCAGATATCTAGATACCTATTTTGATATATCCTTTTTTTAAAAAATATATCCAGATAGCTACTAGCTTTTAGCTTGCAAATATCTGAGTAAATCTTACAGATAACCAGATTACCTTCTGGATATCTAAATTATGATATGGATATTTGGATAAACCAGATAATCCAGGATATTATAAGGTTAGATATGCTAATTGGATAGTACTCAAGAGTACCTTTAACCAATATTGGTCACTAGAATATTTTACTAAAATTACTTAACTGGATAAAATTAGAAGTATAATAGCTTTTATTAATCAAATATCTAGTAAAAATTTTGTTATTAGAATGGAAGTTCCAGTGATTTCTGATACTTCTGGTGATATTTATTAGTCAATTCATCTGAAATAATTTTATGTATAATTTCATATATAATATTCATAGCATATTAAATAAGTAGTTGTGCTAAATAGAATATAGAGGCATATATGTTGTATATAAAATTTAAAACTAGCTTTAAATTAAGTTGTATAAGTTGAAAAAGTAGAACTTGATTATTTGGAACTAAAATTGGCTAGCTTTAAATACTCTATTAACTAATCTATAATTCAAAGGCCCTAAGACTTCAAATTGGCAGACAAAAAAAGGCATGGAGAGACTTGGTTCAAGTCTTGAGGCTTTTTAGATCTTGCTGTGGTGTTAATAAAGTTTGGGATTAGTATAGTTTTGACTTATGCTTTTACAAGTAGTTTATAGGCTTTGGTTGGAAGCTAAAATAGTTCTTCGACTTAAATTTCAGTATGCCAGGCTTTAATGTTCTACTTTGATCGTTAAGATTCTTAACAATTATCATGTGGGTCACGAAATTGGTAAAATTAATTAATATTCAATTTAGAAGTAACAATGACATGAATCAGAGTTTAATCACTTGATGTATTATTATATAAGGGGTTTTAGCTACTAATCAACTCTCTTTCTTTCTCTTTCTTACGAGAAATAAAGATTATAATATCACAAGATCAAAAGGGTATGAATCTGGTTTTTGTTACTATTATTTTAAGAAAACTTAGAGCTAACACTTTTACGCTAATTTCAAAGGTTAAGCTCTACAATAATATTACAATTTTACTTTATAATAATGGGTTATCAACAAAGTTGATTAGACAATTTATCAGGAACAACAGAATAAGATAAGTGAAAAAAACTACTGGAGTACTTCTAATATTATTGTTTCGAAGTTTACTTAACTAAGTTCTGCTTTATTTACCAAGTGAAAAGTCTTTACTTTTATACTTTTTACAGGACTATAATATTACAGGTTTATATTTATACACAAATGGTGACAAAGCTAATAAATCAGATTTAATTAAAAAAAAGGAATAAAGTGAATATATTCGTGAAAGCTATTATTGTGAACAACATAGCAAAATTTGATATTGTGACTAAAGCTACAAAATCTGTCAAAATGAATTACTTTAAGTTGAGTAAAAATAGAATGACGATAATAATAATAATAATAATAATAGAAATAATACAAAATAATAATAAAATAATAAAAAAAAAACTTTAGGAGCCCACCACACTCTTCACAATCTTTCTCTACTTAGGTATGAGTTCTACGAGTATGGCTTTACCTTATCTTAATAAGGAACAGTAGTTGTTATTACTCAAACAATGAATTCTTCTAAGGGTAGTGTAGATGGTGCGATACACCTGTTTGATACCATAGCACTTGAATATATAATAAGTCCTGAAGGCAGTGACATAGTAGTGGTGAGAGATTATTCTTCTAATGCTTTGGTGTTGGTCCCTGGGTATGATATCTAAGAAGGAGCCTAGATAGTACATGTAGGCTAGGCTCTTAATTCTTTTCTCTTTCTGAGAGCATGGAGAAGGTAGTGATGGGTGAGGAAAATTTTTATAATAATTTCTTTCTCTGTTTTGTAATATGGGGGTGGTGTAGGGTCTACTTCAATCAGACTGAGGCAGTGTTAGTCAAGTTGGCTTCTTTGAACTGGTGAAATATTTCCCATGGTGGTGTTATTGCCATTGACTGACTTGGTGAGTTTCTTTGGCCTATATTTATACTTTTCGTTCTCAGTATAGCTTTAACAATATCTTATTTAAGGGTGCTGCCAATATCTTTCCACTTATTTCTCTTAGTTTATATACGCCATTAATTTGGATATCATGAATGTAATATGGGCCCTTTTATTTGGGTGCTAGTTTATAGCTGCATGTTCTCAGCTTTCTGGCATCTAGTACTAAGACTTTCTCACTAATCTTAAAATCTATAGTAGCTTTAAGCTATCGATCGTGATACTCCTTTTGTTTCTGTTGTTCTTCACTAATAAGATATAAAGCTTTGTTATAGGCTTTGGGAAGATTATAGTCAATCTTATACAATCGTTGAATAATGGTATTTTGCAACAAATCCTTAGATGCACTAAGATGCAGGGGTAATTGAGCTTTTTGTCTGTAGATCAAATAGAATGGTGTCTCTTGGATTGTGGCTTGTTTTGCAGTGTGCTAAGTGAAAAGTTTGATGGTATCAATAGATTTCAATCAGTAATGTTTGTAACTAATTTTGCTATTGATTTGCACAGGGTCTTATTGAAACATTCTACTAGGCTATTTGTTTGTGGGTAATACAGTGCAGAGTAATAATGTTTAGTGTTCAAAGCCACTAAAAGTTTATCCACTATATGATTGTTGAAGTATGATTCTTGGTCAGATAGTAGGATGCTTAGATATCCGTGTCTATACAGATGTTTTCGTAAATAAACTTCACCACTTTCTTCACATTTGCTCTTGGAATTGCATAGGCCTCTGGCTATTAGTCATATAGTCTGTCACTACTACAATATATTTGCTCAATCGTCATATAGTAGGCAATAGTCTGACTATGTCTACTTCTATTCTATAAAAAGAGCCTTTGACAGGTATTGGGTGTAATAGTTCTTTTGATCTTCTGTCTCTATGTTTCTGGCAATTTTTACACATCTTGACATACTTACATATGTCATTATATATTTGAGGCCAGTAATAATATTCATGGACTTATTGAACATAATATCTTTCTCGAAATAGGCACCTAAAAGATGAACATAGGCTAGGGTTAATATGGCTTCTAGCTCTCCTTCCTGCAGTACTTTTATCAGATTTCTTGAGCTCTTTTATTTTTCTTTTATACTGCTTCATTCTTTACTAAAAAAGGTCGACTTTGCTTTTTTTCTTTTTTTTTTTTTTCTTTTTTTTATTAATATAATGCCATAGTAGAAACTTTATTACAAAAAACCTAAATTAATTTAAAGACTAATAGTCTTCTCATTTTAGACTAAATTTGAGTGAGGGGTCAGGTAAATCACTTGATCAGGCTAACAAGTCCCTCCAACTCGGCAGTAGCTAAGTTAGAGAAGGTTTGGCTTTTTTAGAAAGAATTCCTATGATTAAAGAT